CTCCCCTGCTGCACTTTAAGCCCATTACTCCTTGTCCTGTCCTCAGAAACCAAGAGAAACAAATTTTCTCCTTCCTCCTTGTGACACCCTTTTAGATATTTGAAAACCACTATCATGTCCCCCCTTAATCTTCGTTTTTCCAAACTAAACAAGCCCAGTTCATGAAGCCTGGCTTCATAGGCTTCTCTAGACCTTTAATCATTCTTGTCGCTCTTCTCTGTACCCTTTCCAATTTCTCCACATCTTTCTTGAAATGTGGCGCCCAGAACTGGACACAGTACTCCAGCTGAGGCCTAACTAGCGCAGAGTAGAGCGGCAGAATGACTTCACGAGTTTTGCTTACAACACACCTGTTAATACAACCTAGAATCATATTTGCTTTTTTGGCAACAGCATCACACTGTTGACTCATATTCAACTTGTGGTCCACTATGACCCCTAGATCCCTTTCCGCCATGCTCCTTCCTAGACAGTCGCTTCCCATCTTGTATGTATGGAACTGATTGTTCCTTCCTAAGTGGAGCACTCTGCATTTCTCCTTATTAAACCTCATCCTGTTTACCTCCGACCATTTCTCTAACTTGCTAAGGTCATTTTGAATTATGTCCCTATCCTCCAAAGAAGTTGCAACCCCACCCAGTTTGGTATCATCTGCAAACTTAATAAGAGTACTCTCTATCCCAATATCTACATCATTGATGAAGATATTGAACAGTACGGGTCCCAAAACAGACCCTTGAGGAACTCCACTTGTTATCCCTTTCCAGCAGGATTTAGAACCGTTAACAACAACTCTCTGACTACGGTTATCCAGCCAATTATGCACCCACCTTATCGTGGCCCTATCTAAGTTATATTTGCCTAGTTTATCAATAAGAATATCATGCGAGACCGTATCAAATGCCTTACTAAAGTCTAGGTATATGACATCCACCGCTTCTCCCTTATCCACAAGGCTCGTTATCTTATCAAAGAAAGCTATCAGATTAGTTTGGCATGACTTGTTCTTCACAAACCCATGCTGGCTATTCCCTATCACTTTATTACCTTCCAAGTGTTTGCATATGATTTCCTTAATTACCTGCTCCATTATCTTCCCTGGGACAGACGTTAAACTGACCGGTCTATAATTTCCTGGGTTGTTCTTATTTAAAGGCTCAGATACCACCTCTATCAGCTCCTGGAGTATTCTAGGATGCATTTAATCAGGACCTGGTGACTTGCAGACATCTAACTTTTCTAGGTGATTTTTAACTTATTTTTTTATTTTATCTTCTAAACCTACCCCCTTCCCACTAGCATTCACTGTTCGGCATTTCTTCATCAGACTTCTCGGTGCAGACTGAAACAAAGAAGTCATTGAGCATCTCTGCCATTTCCAAGTTTCCTGTTACTGCTTCTCCCTCCTCACTGAGCAGTGGGCCTACCCTGTCCTTGGTCTTCCTCTTGCTTTTAATGTATTTATAAAAGGTCTTCTTGTTTCCCTTTATGCCTGTAGCTAGTTTGATCTCATTTTGTGCCTTTGCCTTTCTAATCTTGCCCCTGCATTCCCGTGTTGCTTGCCTATATTCATCCTTTGTTATTTGTCCTAGTTTCCATTTTTTATATGACTCCTTTTTTTATTTTGAGATCATGCAAGATCTCCTTGTTAAGCCAAGCTGGTCTTTTGCCATATTTTCTATCTTTCCTACACAGCGGAATTGTTTGCTTTTGGGCCCTTAACAACGTCCCTGAAAGTTTGAATTTCATTTTCCATATAGCCAGTATTGCAAGCACATCTCAGAGTGGGCAACAAATCTGAGCAGCATACGTGGCCATGACTTCCAACACTTTCATGACTTCCAATTCTTCAATTCTCATGAGCTCCAGTTCCCAGGAGCACAGAAGACTGCCAGCATGGAGAGTGAAGAAGATTTTGGACCTCATGAAGGTGTGTGGAAAGGAGTCCATTTCCTTCAAGTGCCAAGCCAGAAAAAAATGGTGATATCCATGCAAAGATTACAAAGACAATGCGGGAGAAAGGATACTCCAGGAACGCCAGCACTGCAGAGTTAAAACCAAGTAGCTAAGGCAGGCCTACCACAAAACTAAGGAGGCAAATGGACTGGTGCATCACCACAAACATGCCAGTTCTATAAGCAGCTGGATGCTATTTTAGGGGTGGACTCAACCAGCCTCCCAAAACTGACAATGGACTCCGCCCAAGACACTCGGGGTAGCAGCATGGAAGACAGTGTGGTGGTGGAAGTGGAGGAGGAGGAGGAGAATGGCCAGATGCAGTCAGCGAGAGCCAACTAATTTTTATCACGTTGGAGCCAGTCCCCTCCTCCCAGGACATCTCCCAATTTCAGAGAGGGAACTTCTGGTGAGCTCACAGTTTTTTCTGACTACAGGTGGGTTAAAGGAATTGGGTGTGATTTGTAGTGTGCTCTGTGCCTACACAGCATGGGATGCCCAAAGCAGCTTGTTAACATGTCTGGAGAGGTTAACATGTCTGGAAATCCTCTCTACACATCTCAATGAAGCTCTCAGATAGGAACCCTTTGATCTTTCTCCCAAGGTTTCTGGGAAGGCCTGTCTTATTCTGTCCTCCGCAGTAGGACACATTCCCATGCCAAGCCACCAGTACGTGGTCTGGCATCATTAAGCCACAAAGCAGTGTAGCATAAGGCCCTGGCTTCTGGCCACATTGAGTCCATATCTGCTCCTGATCACTCAGTGTAATTTGGAGAAGACTGATATCTCGCATGGCAACCTGGAGGAGGAAAGCTATTAGCTGCTGCCTTGGCTGCTAGCATAGCTTCTGACTCTGGCATCCCCCCTCTGTCCTGCCCTCCCTGTTACAGGCTGCCCCAGTGGCTTGACCAGACCCCATCCCCATCCCCTTCCCAACCAAAGGCTCCTGCAGAATGGGAAAGTAGTACTCTCCCAGGAAGCCACATGTTCCGGACACAAGGAAGCTGCTCTGCCCCACCAGTTTGACTAGAACCTATCCCCCGCTCCTGGCCGCAGGCTCCTGCAGGATGGGAAAATAGCTCTGTCCTGGGAAGCTGCATGTACCGGACACAGGGTAGGCTCTCCAGAACTCTTCTCCCCACTCTGGACTGCAGGCTTCTGTAGGATGGGAAAGTAGCACTGTCCCGGGAAGCCACCCTGTCCTACCGGCATAACAGGAGAACATAACTCTCTCTTCCCCAACTGCAGGATCATGCCTGCCTGCCTGCCTCCAAACCGTGTAAGTCCAGATGCTCCCTTAAGAATGTGTACCTGCTGTACAGTGGTTAGTTTAAAGCAAAACTTTGGCCTTGCATAGAACACATCTTTGTTGTCTTTACGGAGACCTTCACTGTTGTTAACAGATGAGGGATAGGTTTAACTCCAATGTATCTTCTGTAATGTGTGCCCTTGTAACTTTTCATGACAGCAGGAACAGCAGCCAGTTTGCTGTGTACTCCCATCGGCTCCAGCAACTGCCTAGCTGGCCCAGACTCACAGGTGAAAACGGACAAGGGATGGTATGTTTAAGGATCACCTGGAGTAGAGGAACACATTCCAGGAAGAGATGCAGACAGACACGCAGGAGAGGATGGTGGAGAGGCAGGACAGTATAACAGAGCAGCAAGACAGGAAAGCCTGCAGGGAAGTGCAAGCGAGGCACCAAGAGAAAATCTTGGCAGTGATGGAGAGCCTGGTGGCATGCATGGAGAAGTACCCACCCCTGAACTCCCTCCACCCCATGCAAAATCACTTTCCCTCCCCCAGTTCCACAGCCTCCACCCCCAGGGGCCCTAGGAAATTGGGGGAGGAGGACTCAAGGGTAGCCTCAACCTCCATGGTCTCAGGAGGGAAAAGGCTGTCCTCCTTGTGTTTCTGAGCCCCCCTTTGCTTTGGGTTCTCACAATGGCTGTCATTTCTTTCCTTGCTGCCGTCCCTAAATAAAAATGCATGCTCTCTGAACAATAGTCTCTTTACTGCTCGTACTGTAGGGATGGGGTTGGAAGATTACAGGCAAACACACAGTGAGGGCCCCTCTTTGAGTCTCAAAACTGGCCATTCATAAAACTTTCTATAAAAGCCTCTCTGATTTGTGCTGCCCTGCACCGTATTCTTCTTATCACGGCGGTGTCTGGCCGCTCAGAATCTCTGGCTAGGCGTTCTGCCTCAGCCCCCGCTCTGGCAGATAACCTTCCCCCTTGCTCTTACAAAGATTATGGAGCATACAACAGGCTGCCACCACAAAAGATATATTGTGTTCACTGAGGTCCAACCTAGTTAGGAGACTCCTAACCCTTCCTTTTAAACGCCCCAAAGCACATTCAGTCATTCTGCTCTTGCTCAGCCTGTAGTTGAACTGCTCTTCGCTGGCGTCCAGGCTGCCCGTGTACAGCTTCATGAGCTGCGGAAGCAAGGGGTAGGCTGGGTTGCCAAGGATCACTATTGGCATTTCTACATCTCCAATTCTGAAGAGGAAGGAGTTCCTAAAGATGCAGGCCTCATGTACCTTTCCTAACCATCCCAAATTGATGTTAGTGAAACGGCCCTTGTGATCCACCAGTACCTGCAGCACCCTGGAGAAGTACCCCTTGTGGTTTATGCACTCCCTGGCAAGGTGGTCGGGGGCCAAGATGGAGATGTGCATTCCATCTATCGCCCCACCACAGTTAGGGAACCCCATCATGGCAAAGCCATCCATTGTAGTGTCCATGTTTCCCAGGCTATGTCTAGACTGCAAGCCTCTTTCGAAAAAGGGCATCTAGACGACAACCAGTACTTCCGAAAAAGCAAGCCGCTTTTTCGAAAGAGAGCACCCAGGCAGTCTCAATGCTCTCTTTTGAAAAAGTACAGTTTGCGTTACATAGCTCCTTTTTTCGAAAGAGCACTTTTGAAAAAAGGCGTTACTAGGTTTTCCGCAGTCGAAAAAACTGTCGCGTTCTTTTTATTTACTTTCAAAAGAACATGGCTGCAGTCTAGATTCAGGTGAAGTTTTTTCAAAAAAAGGCCACTTTTTTTGAGAAAAACATGTAGTCTAGACACACCCCCAGAGTCACAACCCTCCATAGTACAATGGTATGAATCACCTTGGCTACTTGTCTAATAACAGTCCCCAATGTAGATTTCCCCACTCCAAACTGATTCCCGATTTACCAGTAGCTCTCTGGCACTGCAAGCTTCCATGGGGCAATTGCCACACAGTTTTCCACAATCAGAACGGGTCTCATTCGGGTATTCTGGGCCTTCAGGGCAGGGGGAAAGCCATTCACAAAGTTTAAAGAAAGTGGCCTTGCGCATTCGGAAGTTTTGCAGCCATTGCTGATTGCTGATTCATTGTCCCATGTCCGCATCACAATGCAGTCCCACCAGTCAGAGCTTGTCTCTCAGTGCCAGAACTGTCTTCCACTGTCAATAAGATTCTGGCTGTGGTTTCATTTTGCTCAGTGCAAGGGCATGCCTGCATAGCTTGAGCATGGGACCCCAAAACAGAGTTGATTCCTCCTCCTCTTCCTGGAGTGCTATGCTAATGCTCTTGAAATTCTCCACCATTAGGCGCAACGAGGTAGACATCACCATCACGATGGTATGATTTGGATCCATACTCGTGCTGCCATGGTATCTGTGCGGGCAACCACGGCTAAAAAGGGTACAAAAAGACTGTTTCCTGTTGACCTCAATGAAGGGGGAGAGAGTAGATGAATGTATTATGGGACGCAGATGACATGAACCCATAACCACCTGCTGCTCAGTTTTGATCCCAGTGTGCATGGGGAGCATAACTCAGAATGCAGAGCAACACAAGCACTGTGGGTTAACTACCCACAGTGCATTGCTCTCAAAGTCGATGGCAGTCTCCCTAATGGGGACATGCTACTTTGAATGATGTGTTACTGAATTCCCTACAGTGAGGATTCAGACCTTTAACTTTGCAAAATTGGGTGACCAGAAATCAGTCATAATAAATTCAACCTCATCTCACTGTGTAGACATGGCCTTTTATTGCTATTGTTGTATAAATACCTGAAGTTTGAGAGAGAGATTCTAAAAAAAACCCTTAATAAACCCAGAAAAAAAAAGTCAGGATTTTCTGAGGTAATATCTGGTCCTTAACCATTAAAACATTAACCATTTCCATATAATAGTACAACTACTAAAGTATAGTCACTGTGCTATATCATTCAGCAAGTACAGAATATATTGTTATATTATTTTAGAGCAACAGCCTACCATACATTTGGAAGCCTTCAGAATTTTTCAAAATTACTAGAACAAAGTGTATCCAGATTGTGAGTTCATGCAAAACTACTTAACATATTTTCTTCAGTTTGCTCTACAAGAGGCAAATATTAATCACAGTTTTATATTTTTAACCCTTTCCAATGTTAGGTTTCTTGGTGAATTTGTCAGGTGATTTTCCTCAGATTATTATTTTTTGTTTAATCTAAAACTTTCATTCAAAGAATATTATTCATGTCATTAACTTCTGTGTAGGTACTTACAGTTCTCTAGTTAGCACTGCATGATGTTACAGATACTTGGAAACAGATGTATTTTACAATTTCAGGAGATGAGGGAATGCTTTCTGTATTTCTTGGCATTGTATAAAACTCAAAGTGCAATGTAGAAAAACAGTGCTATTGTCTAGCTGTTTGCATAGTAGTACAAGTTGTACCTCTCTAAACTGGGACTCTGGTTTGGAAACATCCATGGTCCCAGGGGACAGGGAGGTCTAGTGGCGGGGGCCAGGAGTGCAGTGGGGGAGCTCGCAACTCGGGAGCCCTGTGGCAAGGTGGGGGGGTGAGCTCTGGACCCAGTGGCCATGGAGCCCCAGCCCTGGCAGTGGCTGTGGAGCTCCAGCCCTAGCAACCATGGAGCTCTGGTCTAGTCAGCTGTGGAGCTCTGACCATGGCAGCTGTGACGCTCCAATCGCAGTCGTGCAGCTCCACCTCCAGAGCTCTGGCTCCGGCAGCAACCATGGAGTCTGACCCCAGTGGCCTTGGAGCTCTGGCCTCAGCGCCATGGAACTCCAGCAGCAACTGGAGAACTCTGGCCTCAGGGAGCCCCCTGCGGGACCAGTGGAAGAGGGGGCCGGGGCCTGAGCCTAACCTTGTGAGCAGCAGGGCCAGGCACAGGTGAGAAAAGCCAACAGTGCTAATCAGGTGCGGGCTTGGGGGCTGGTGGCAGAAGTCCACCTCTGGTTTGGCAAATCCCCTTATTCGGGACTGGTTAGGTCATGAGGGTTGCTGGACCAGTGAGGTCCAACGTGCACCATTATTAAATGTTGGCTTAAGAGGCTGTGTTTTGTTTTCGGGGTTTGGGGCATTTTATTTTCTGAGATCTCGAGTAAGAGTTTGTTCAAGAAGTAAATTTGAATCTGCAAAGCTCAATATTGATTTAGGCGTTTGGAGGTTAGACTATATGCAATGTGTTTGTCCTGGTCTATAAGCTTCCGATGCAGGAATAGTGTAAACCAAAGGCTGGCTAAGTAATTAGACAGCTCACCTTATTGCAAAATGTTGGGTTCTTCTTCTCCAGCGTAGCTATCCTATGGAGGAAGAGGAAGTAGATCTGTTACATTGATGTGACATATTCCTGTCAACTTCCAATTGTGGGACTCAAACTCAAGCAGGGATATAAAAATTATAAAACAGGAAACTCAAAATAATGTGGGATTTGTGTGACCACAAACATTTCCCCTGAGATCTTTTTCATGATTTTGCTTTTGTGATAGGAATAATTTACTAAAGGATAAAGTGAAGTCATACCAGATTTGTGTGGTATGGATGCCATTACTAGGGAAATACCTTATTAAATGAAGGACAGTTGAGATGTGTGATTTGGGGCTGGCAAGCACAACTTCCAGGTTTTATTTCTTTATGTAAATCTGTAGGCATTTGTGCCAGTCGTTTTGGCCTGTTCTTTCTGGTAAAAAAAAAAAAAAAATTAGTTTAAAGCTCACATTGGAACCTCTTCTGATGGTATATGTATGTATTAGTGGTTCACAAAACACTGTCATTGGTATTCCACCTATGTTTACAAGTTATTTGGGTACTGAAAATTCTTGACAGTTTGCCACTAATTTACAGTAAAGCATGTTATGAATGCTTTTTCTTATCATATTGCCCTATAATGTAAATTAGATATTTATTCCATGTTGATTACTATTGAAAATTGTGTCCTCACTGTAAGGTTCATGTAGTGCATGCTGTTAGCTATCAATATACTCATACATACAAATTAATCCTCACTACAAATTCACTAAAAAAGCAAATGTTAAGCAGCCTTATCAAAGCAAGCTTCATAAACTAAAACTCATACTTCAGTAGACAATTTAAACCACAACTCAAAGTAAATTTTGATTACAAAATTATTAGAGATGTCAATTAATCACAGGTAACTTACACAATTAACTAAAAAATTAATTGCAATTTTAAAAATTAATCATGATTAATCAGTTTTAATTGCAATGCTAAACTGTAGAATACTGATTGAAATGTATTTTTGAATTATTTCTACATTTGCAGTTATCACACAGAATACAAAACATACAATACTCACTTTATATTATTTTTACAAGAAGTAGGACTGAGTGGATAGTAGATTCTAAAGTTTTTTACATTATTTTATTTTTGAATGCATTTAATTTTTGTAAATAATCCCACATTTGTAAATTCAGCTTTCATGATAAGGAGATTATACTACAGTATTGTATTAGATGAATTGAAAAGCACTAATTCTTTTGTTTTTTACAGTGTAAATATGTGTAATAAAAATAAGTATAAAGTGAGCATAGTATGCTTTGTATATTGTATTGTAAATTAAATAAAAATATTTGAAAAAGTAGAAACATTCAAAATATTTAAAGGAATGGTATTCTATTGTTTAACAGTCTAATTTATCACATGATTACTTGTGATTTTTAAAATTGTGCAATTAATCACTATTAATACTTTAATCACTTGACAGCCCTAAAAATTATAAAATTTAAAACTCAGTGATAAAAACCTCAATATTATCAGGGTTTTGGTTTTAATTACACATACAAGAAAGAACACAATTTGTTCCAAATGTGTATTAAAATCCTCACCTCTCTGTCCAAATGTTTCGTGCATGAATTAGGAATTTAAGAGTTTAACCAGTTAACCGATAAGCTGATGCTTATCAGTTCCTGTTAATGGTTTAACTCTGTACGGAGAGCAGGGGATTGGGAGCCTCAGGGCTGGCAGCTTGGAGCCCACATGGCCTGCTGCTTATGGGGCCATCAACCAGAAGCCTGTGGGGCTGGCAGCTGGGAGCCCTCCAACAACCTTCCCTCCCTACCCAGACATCCCCAGGTAACACATTTAACTGAATTTCGATCGGTTACTTGGTTACTATTTTTATACATTGCTTACATTCATAATATTAATAGCTGGAACTATTATTTCCTTAATTCTGTTCATTCAGAACAGTTTGTGGGGGAGCCCAGTTATTGTTGTTTGCACAGTACCATATTTATAATCCTTGCATCAAATTACATACTATTATGTAGAGGTTTAGGTTTCCATAGTATCAAAGTGGGGAGATATTAAGAGGTTAAATACAGCTTTTCTTATTTTAGAACTATTTTTTTCTTTTCTCATTTGTCTGTCTTTTGATTGATGGCAAGTGAAAACTCTGTGTTCTTGTCTGGGTGAAGTACTGAAACAACACAAAACCTTTGCTGATTGTATGTATTGACAGCTGAAAAAACCAAGAATATGGAAAATGAGAGAAGCAGAGTACTAGCAAGACATAGTGACATTGACTGTAGGAATAATAAACTTATAAATATTTAGTTTGTTTATGAGTCTTTTCAAGTAATAATTCTAAGGTTAGGTATTATCCTCATAAATATTTATCTGTGACCTATGTGCTCTTTAGGCCATGTCCACATGTGACTGAAATATGTCCTACCAATAACCAATGTGGAATACTAGTTTAATATTTCCATATAAACAAGCTTCCTAAAGCATGCTAAAAAGTATTTGTCTCTTCAAGTACTCTCTGGTCTGCCTTTATATCTTGGTTCTCAAAAATAAAAATCCTATATCAAAAAACAATTCTAGAAGTATTCAAGCAAAAATAATATTTCAGCACAATTATTAATAGGCTTTTCTTTACAGTAGTTGATTACTATCTTGTAATAGACCACAGTTCTTTGAGTGCTTGCTCATGTCCATTCCATATTAGGTGTATGCTCACCATGTGCACTGGTGCTGGAAGTTTTCCCTCAGCGGTATCTGTAGGGGGCTGGTTCTGGTGCCCGCTGGGTTGCATCCATATGGCATTATAAAAGGGAATTACTGATTCCTTCCACCCTCAGTTCCTTCTTGAATGTTGGTGCTGGAATGTTCTTCTGCTTCAGCTAGCTTTGTTCAGTTAGACAAACTTTTTCCTTGTAATATAGTTTATAGCTATCCCTTAGGGTATGTCTATACTACGTGGCTCTGTCGGTGGAGCCATGTAGATGAGCTTTGTAGACATAGGAAAATGAAGCGGCGATTAAAATAATCGCCACTTCATTTACATCAAAATGGCTGCAGTGCTGTGCTGATCAGCTGTTTGTCGACACAGCACGGTAGTCTGGACGCTCCGCGGTCGATATCAAAAGCCTTTGTCGACCACCTTGGTAAAACTCATCCCATGAGGCATAACAAGGTGGTCAACAAAAGCTTTTGATGTCGACCGCGGAATGTCCAGGCTACCGCGCTGTGCTGACAAACAGCTGATCGGCACAGCACGGCAGCCATTTTTATGTAAATGAAGTGGCGATTATTTAAATCGCCGCTTCATTTTCCTATGTCTACAAAGCTCATCTACATGGCTCGGTTGACGGAGCCATGTAGTGTAGACATACTCTTATTGAGATACTGATAGTTGGTCTTGGATGGGACTCTGCCTATGGACAGGGCATGCCCGGATCTCCAGGCTTCAAACCCTGCAATCGCTGGAAGCAGTCTATGCCATCAGTGATCCACATAGCAGCTGTTTAAGTGGTCTGGGTGAAGGACACATAAGCAACAAGTGTCACGTTGGTAAATTGTTCAAACCCCAAAAGGAAAAGGAGAGAAACATCTATCTTCAGAGGCACTGATATCAGCACTAACTCCAGTACTGGAGCAGAGATCTGTCTCAGCCCCAAGAGCCGTGGCGTCTGTGCAGATTGTCTTGTGGGTACTGTCAGCGGGTTGGCACCAGTCCACCTCCTGGGCTCTTTTCAAGAAGCCTAATAGGGCTGCGAGGGGAAGATCTACTTCTGGTAAGGGAAAGGAGAGGGCTTGAGGAGAACCACAATCTGTACTGGACAGTTCAATTCCTCTGGCAGGGAGTCAGGCATAAGCTCAGTTTGAGTGTTCTAACCCACTCTGAACCATGCCTGCCATACCAGATAGTAATAAGGGTCCTCACCAACTAGAAGTCCCATGAATGCCTGAGGCCTTGTGGCAGCACAAAAGATCCTGTCACTCCCAGTGCTGCCCACATTAGCTCCGGTGGTTACCCAGACCAAGGGCAAACCCACTGAGGGACCCTTTCATAGGTTCCCCATCTCAGTGACACCGTTCCCCATCACGTCCTGCCAGTTATTACCTACACAAAGCTGTGAAGCCTCAGAAACAGTGAGGCAGGCTCAGAAGAACCCTCTGTGGTCTCTGGCCTCAGGATGCTGACAGTGAGATTCAAGACACAGTTACTTGATAACCTGGCACAGACCCATGGAGGCACACCCTCCTCCCCCGCCCCCCTCCAAGAACATCAGCATCAGCCCTTCATATCTACATAGTCTTGGCACTGATCACAGGACCACTCCAGTGAGTAAGGCTGACAGTCAGTAGCCTGACAACCAGTGTGGCAGTGTAGCATCCCAGGTGATTAATCAGCTCCACCCATTCAGTCAGCTCTGTGCATGGAGCTCTGAGCCTCTAACAGGGCGGGGCTGCCGACAACTGTCACCGAGAAGTTTATCCCTGCGGTCAGGGAGATCTTCTAGACAGCAGGCCCGCTCTAGCGCCTGGTCCTGCTACCAACCAGGAAACGTGAGTCTTAGATTGCCAGACTACCATCACCAATCTGCTGAGGGCCAAAAATCCCCAGATTCCCATGTCAGGACTCATCCCAATCTGAATGTTTGTTTTTGAGAGAGAGTGGTCAGTACCATTCATAGATGGGTTGCTGTTACACCTATTTCTGGTCACCTGTTAGTGCCCACTCCACATCTGACTTCAGCACTGAGCAGTCATCATTAACAGCGGATCAAGCTTTGGCTCTGGTAGTGTACCAACTGTGTTGTCAGCAGGGTTCCCTCTAAGATCGTGCCTGTGCAGCCGTATACAAAAAAATCTAAACCCACCCATGTCCCGCTGGGCCTGGAAGCTGAGTGGGATGGCCGCTTTGGTGGATGGGGCTAGGACAGCTGCAGCAGGCATAGCTGTGTGGTGGTGGCTACTCGAGTGGCTGCAGCTGCATGGGGAGCAGCTGTTCTGGCTACTTCGGTGGCTGGGGTGGAGGCCAGGGCAGGCCAGGGCCTTAAGGGGAGAGGCTGATCTGGCTGCTTGGGGAACAGCTACTCCAGTGGCAAGGATCTTTCCATTTAAATCTCTGCATTCTTAATTATACGTACTAAAGGAAAGAAGTAGCTGAATACATCCCTTCTTTAACCCACATTATTTTATTGTTTCTGGGTTAACAAATACTTGTTTTTAAAAGTGGGAATGTTTTGTATTTATGCATATTAAAGAGCATTTAATTATGTTAGTTGAAGAAAGTATTTCAAAATCTGCTTCCCAGGCAGTAAGATACATTTTTCACTGTAACTCTTGCAACTGGCATTACTGTCCTGAACAAACTACCCTCAATCTAAATCCTGAAACCTCCTAAAAAAAAGCCACTAGGATGCTTGCAGCTGGTGCACAAGGTAGGTGTTCTTTGCTTCCTCTCACTGAATTTTCTTTCCTGCTATTTCCATGCTTACTGCAATGTCTTGTAAGCAATTCTAAAGCATTAGCATAATTTAGGAAAAAATGTGCTTGTGTAGTAAAGCAAACTGCCAACATACGTCAACTTCTGAATAGCCATCTCTTTAGGCATCTATCTGTTGTTTTATATTATGTTCAATGATGTAGCATCTGGGACTCTGGAAAAAAATTACTGTCCCCACTCATGAAGTCAGTAGCAAAACTCCCATTAGCTTCAGTGTGATCTAGGTTTCATATCTAAGATGAAATGGCATACAGATGGATGTGGCTTTGGGGATAGAGTAAGTTTTTATTGAAAATGGCTATTTCTACATGTTTCATCATTATTATTATTCTTCCTGTATAGCTGGTGCTAATGTCAGGATTTTACATTGGTAGAGTGCTGCATTTCTCTTTAGATGTTGACTCCTGCAGTGACGTGCCAGTGGCTCCCGACACCATTGCAGAGGGGGGAAAGGAGCACCCTGCCCCGGATGCTGCCTGGCTGTGCCAATGGGTGTCCATGCTATTATGCAGTGTGGCCATGTGAAGAAGGCTGGGCAAGGCACTCCCTGCACAAAGAGACACCTAGCACCTCCCCAAAAGCTCGTGGCATAGGGGTCATTCTGGAGGAAAACCAGAGCAGTGCTGCACTGTGCTTATTTTTGGCCTCCTATGACTTCTATGGAACTGTGGGCAGTGCAGAGTTAGAGCAGACTTGAGGCTAATCTAATATACAACAGCAGCTGGACTTGTTGCTGGCAAGATGGAAAATACAGAATGCACAAAGAG